TCTAACCAATGCCTTTATCCACTGTGCCATGTGTCCTTGAGAACATCTGGGTACGAATTTCTGGGTATTATAAACCTAATGTCTTCAGCAACCATTTTTTCCAGTGCTCATATTGCTATTTTGTGAGTGTGAGTTCAATACCCAGTTAAGGCAGTGGAGAACTTTCAGAGGGAAATTAACAGGAGATAACTGATAACTGACATCCATCAAACATGGCACGTGCAATTAGAACAGTCTACCCCAGTGAGCGAAATAAAGGGTTCAGTTCGACATTCCAACCATCTGAAGAAGGCCGGAGTGTACAACGGCCGAAACGTTGTGATAAATATGGCGACAAAGATGAGGACAATAGTCCGAATAATGTAAATAATTTGCATAATACCTCATCTCAGAAATATAGACAGAACATAGAAATTATTTGCATATACGCACAACATACTTCGAGAAACACATACTTCAAAGACTGGATAAATACATCGGTAACATTTCCACCATAAACGAGGAAAACCAGCAATACCCATAAATATCGAAGGACCAAAAATATTAAAATCTGAAGTGAATTCGACAATGGCCGAATTGAACCAAAACAAATCAGCAGGACTAAATTGAATTTTATTACAGATACCGGCAGCCTTAGATGATTTACACACATAATAAATCAAATATACAACAATGATGATATACTGGAAGGCCTAAGTAGATCCTTTTTCTAACGAACTTTACAGCAAATCTCTCAGCCGTTGCATTTAAACGCAAAAAGAAAAGAAAATCAGTAATGGAGAGCTAGACAAAGTGTCTGCATTACTAGTTGCAACTCTGATGATGATCTCAGAAAGAGATGGAAAGTACTTGGGAAATAAAAGTGATTTTTGCTTTTACAGCGCATTTCATTTTGTTGTAATACACGGAAATAATATCCGTGAATATGAACGGATTATGTTAAAAATAATCAGGCGCAAAGTTTGCAAATCATTTAATCAAACATGGTTAAAAGGTAATTTGCTGCCTAAATACACACGCACACACACACGCGCGCATACACACACACACATATATATATATATATATATATATATATATATATATATATATATATATATATATATATATATATATATATGCCTTTGTAAGTACATATATGTGTATATGAATGCTTATGAATGTACGCGTGGTGTAATGGATAGCAGTTAAGGACGATAAAAAACAACTGCAATATAGTGCAAATACCCTTGGGAAAGGTATTAATTCATCACTTCTGTTACCGTTTCATAGTAGGGAAGACTAGGCTTCATAGCCTTGAATGGCAACCAATCTTGTACTTGCATACAAAAGCTCACTTGTACATATACCTATATTTATCCATTTGGTTATATATATATATATATATATATATATATATATATATATATATATATATATATGTATAGAGAGAGAGAGAGAGAGAGAGAGCTTTTTTATGTATTCATATTGACAGCCGAGGGGATAATCCAAATTTAATCGTAAGGATCACACCAAATTTATCGCTTTTATAAATGTAGGTGAACTTTTTTTATTTAATCACTCAACCACAAAAGTAGAATTCGAAATGTCAATATCACTTTCCTCCCACTTTTCTGTCCGGCGATATTGGTTCACGGGGCGGGGGGAAATGTCTGAGTATTTGTTTCTGCTTTCAAAATATTGAAAAAGTCAAATGGTCCAACTATGAACATTTGGAGGGAAAAGGCATTGAAACCGGAAGTCTTTTTAGACGTGGAAACGGAAGTAAGCAAGATGACTGCGGATGTTTTACAGACAGGGTTAAAAAAAAAAAAAGAAAAAGAAAAGTGAAGCGGAAAAAAATGAGAGTAAAAGAAAAAAAAAATACCTATATTATAAAAGAATTCATTGCCAAATATTTATCGAAAAATTTCTTTGTTCTGTTTTTTCATTGTTTTTGATGTTTTTATTTTGTAAATTTATAGCTGATTAATTTTCCCATTTTTTTGATTGAAGAATTTTTCTTTTTATTTATTTGTACTTCGATCAGTTCAGATAATCTCCCGTTCACTTTTGACACCATAACTGTCACGAAATCTTCTTCTTCTTCTTCTTCTTCTTCTTCTTCTTCTTTATGTCTTGTCTCTTATGGAAATCGGAGATCATGGCTCTTCAGAGCATCCCCTCTTTGTATTTCCTAGAAATATTTGTCTTTTTCTATCGCTCTTATGTTCTGTACAATGCTCAAATTTGCACAAGCTTCTGTCTACATTTCTAAGATGAGATATTGTAACTATTCACAATAGTTACACGATTTGGACAATTTTGCTGTTACACAATTTGGTATGTTCAGAATGATTCCAACACGTTTTTTTCTGATTGTAATTGTCCTTTCTTGTTTCCATTTTATTCAAACTTCCTCGTTGCTTATATGCTCCGACAATGGCATTCTCAACATCCTTCTGTGTAACCACATCTTTCTTGTCACAAGTTTCATTTTATCTGTGATGAAATTGTGTAACTTTCATTATCCTTGTTATTTAATAACACTGCAGCAACTCTTTTTTTATCATAATGAAATTTATCAGATTCATAATATTTTGTTGAGCTTTTGGATGGTACATTTCTATCCCAATGTCACTTCAGATTGCGGTGTCATATGTTCCTTTATCTCTTTAAAAACACTTTTCAAATATCTAATTTTCGAACTTGTTTCATTTTGACATCTCCAAGTCTTAACTCTCAACTTTAGGATTTCATAAGTAATAGTAATTTAATTTAACCACTCCCATTATCAATTCACTGCCTCAACCAAAAACAAGCTATTACGAAGGAGATCTGATATGTTTTCAACACGATTAGGAGGCGATTCTAAAAAAAAGAACATTCTGATCTTTGGCCATTTGGTCAGATTTTCGAACCTTGCTTACCGAAGTGAATCCAGTCCTGGCCAAATTGAACAAAAACAAATCAGCAGGATCAGATGGTATTTTATTACACATGTCGACGACTTCAGATGATTTAGGCATTGCCAAGTTTACACATATATTAAATGAAATATACAACAGTGGCGATACACTGGAAGTCCTAAGTAGACCCATTTTCATAACACTGCCAAAGAAATCAGGTGTAAGCGAATGTAAACTTCAAGAAAAAAAACATACTTTAAGGACGGAATAAATACATCGGTAACATTTACACGACAACAGAGGAAAACCGACAATACCTTTAAAATATCGAAGGAAATATTAAGATCTGAAGTGAATTCAGCACTGGCCAAATTAAACAAAAACAAATCAACACGATTAGAATGAATTTTATTACAGATTCCGGCAACCTTAGATGATTTCGGCATTGACAACTTTACACACATAAGGAAATAAACAAGTATGGTGATATACTGGAAGGCCTAAGTAGATCATTTTCATCGAGTTCTTTTCCGCAATCGTTCACTGCTACTATACAAACGATAACATTAGATGGTGTTTTATAAGGAAATATTGGATATTCATTGATTGAGCTGAAAGTACTTTCGGGGACTAAAATATATAAAACAATTAATTCGTAAAATAAGTTCGCTGCTATTTATCTTTGTTGAAACTTGACTAATGCATGAAATAATAATACAACACAAAATGTACTTAGAACAAAATGTATTGAAACAAGAAAGTGTATACAATATTTACATATAGTCTTTTGTATATTCTTGGGAAGACCGTTCCTGGAGAATGTGTTGACTTAGTCGCAGTCGGGCAGAGTCTCTGGATTGAATCCCTTGATTCTTCCCCTCGTCTTCCCGGTACCAACCATATTTATATGGTCGATACTCCACTATGCAAATTAGGTGGATCCTACCACAACAATCTTTACGTTATTAACGGTCTTTCTGGGTAAGACGATAAACTACATCTGGTAGCAAGGCCTCTGTTCGGGAGATTTTGAGAAGCATGACACTACTTCTTAATTGCTGTTGTTCCCGAGTCCACTTTGACCTGCGGTGGTAGCACCTTTTAGGGTACCAGCTGTGGGCAAATGGTTAACTCCCAAACTGGAGTCAAAGCGCTATGAATGTATAAAAATAGATGTTTATAGCAAAAGATAAAGCAATGAATTAAAAAAAAAACAGCTATATATTTGACTCACGACAAAAACTCTCTTTGCAAAAGATATACCAAGAAACCTGGTGTAAAAACTGATTTTTTACAAAAAATACATATTGTATTCATACGAACCTATCCTAAAATTTGGTCGACATTGATTAACTCATTCAGGCTGATATACCATAAAACAAAATAAACCCAAACATGGTATTGAGGGAGGGTACCTTACTGATATTTTGCAAATTAGCTTAGAATATGTGATATGCAATTTAGTTGTTTCCAAAGTCTTCAAGTGATGCTATTTGTTGCAGTTCTTTGATTGCGATTGCCATGGCCAAGTAGATAAAGACGTTGGTTAGATCCAGTGCCTAGACACAAAGAATTGTGAGTTCACTGCCAGGCCACAGAAGTGGTGAAGCAAACTTAGAGAGTTAAAGAGAAATAACTAAGATATTCGGAAGATGTATGGTACGTGGAACTGGAACAATTTAACCTGGTGAACGAAATAAAGGGATCGGTTCGAAATTCCAATGACCTGAAGAAGGGCAGAGCGTACAACGGCCGAAATGTTGGGAATATGGAAATGAAGATGAGGATAACAGTCCGAATAATGTAAATAATTCAAGTAATCATAATACTTCATCTCAGAGATATAGACAGATAGGTATTAGCAATAAGACAAGAAAGAAAGAAAGAAAGAAAGAAGAAAGAAAGAAAGAAAGGGAGAATGTTAAGAAGAGGAAGAATAAAAAATTACGAGATCAATCTACCCTGGTGAACGAAATAAAAGGCAGGTTCGGTTCGAAATTCCAATTAAGTGAAGAAAGCCGAAGCGTACAACGGCCGAAACGTTGTGAATATGGCAATGAAAATGAGGATAACAGTCCGAATAATGTAAATAATTCAAGTAATCATAACACTTCATCTCAGAGATATAGACAGATAGGTATTAGCGATAAGAAAAGAAAGAAAGAAAGAAAGAAAGAAAGAAAGAAAGAAAGAAAGAAAGAAAGAAAGAAAGGGAGAATGTAAAGAAGAGGAAGAATAAAAAATTACGAGATCAATCTACCCAGGTGAACGAAATAAAAGGTTCGGTTCGAAATTCCAATTAAGTGAAGAAGGCCGAAGCGTACAACGGCCGAAACGTTGGGAATATGGCAATGAAGATGAGGATAACAGTCCGAATAATGTAAATAATTCAAGTAATCATAACATTTCATCGCAGAGACATAGACAGATGTTCGTAGAAGGGTTAAGGCCTACAGGCCTCATTAATTCAAGGGCATTATTAATCACTGATCTGAGAAAGTGGTGGTATACGTAGGATAGTTTAGATATTTTTGAACGGGTTCGCATCCACATGAAGGCCCGATCTGATGTGGGTTATATAAGGAAACACAAATTTGTAGGTTGATATTTTGGTTCAGTAGCAACTTCTGTGTTGGGAGAAACTAACCGTCATCGCAGTCTATCCTATGTTTTATTTTCTTATATGAATTTATTCTAATTGATTCACAGACCGAAGAATCTGAAGTGTTTATCAAACAAAGGTTCTAAACCATAATCAACTTTTTATACCAAACAGCCCCCCACCCCAAAAAAAATAAATAAATAAAATAAGATAAAAAAATAAAATAAAGTATATAAATAGGTGCTGCTAATTTGTCAGCTCGACCAAGGAGAGATTCGAAAACAGATTTTAATATTTGGTTCTTTTTCTCAGATTGTCCGGGTCTAGTTTTGTAAGGCCTCACCGAAAATAGAGTTGGCAACTGAGCATATGTCTAAACCACTTTCCCATAACTACCTTACTGCTCGTACAGTAGCAACGGTAAGCAAAGAAGGTGCACCTATTGGCAACCTTGATAATGTCAGCCATTACTTTTATTAGAAATAGTAAGAGTAATGGAAGTAATTGTTGTAATACTTATATGATTGGCCATAATTCACAAAGAATTGTCTGCAAACACATATTCCACTCAAAGAACCAAAACGCGAATCATATTATACATACACATATATATATATATATATATATATATATATATATATATATATATGTACAAAACAAAAAAGTAAATGTAGCGATTGTCCTAATCTGTACGTGACTAGGCCATTGAAAACGTTTGCTTTTTCTTTCCAAACGCAATCCGCCTTCATCTTGTACAACACCTTCTGCCCGAGGACATCCGCTGTTAAAGACAGACACACAAGATTCGGTGTGTTTTTTTTTTTCGTATAAATATCTTTGAGATGTCTTGTACTTAGTCACCAATGTGTACTATACATTAATCACAATAACTGAATGTTAAATATGAATTCTTTTTTTTTTTTTTTCTCTTTCTCTCCTTCATTCTCTGCTGGCCTTTGAAGGTAAGCGCTAATTTTTACTTAAGCGTCTGCAGGAAAACAGTCACATGATTACTGTTTGTGACACTCCACAACAGATAGAATTCGTCCCGGTGCAACCGTGTACAATACTACGGAAGCTTTTACTTGCTAATATTGTACAGCTGCAGTAATGGCGTGATTTTCGGAACGGGAATTCGGAGGGCTAAGTTCGGATTTCTTCTCGAGATCTTGACATTCACTTTCATAAATATACTATTAGAAAGGCATGAATCTATCTGTTTTTCTCCCAGCTGTGTATTAAATGGCAGACTCTTTAGCTATGGATGGCAACCGGTATAGGAGAAAAAAACAAGTATGATGTTAAAACCACATATCATTCTTGTGGGGCACAGATGTGAATTTTAACTTCACTTAAGTTCACTCAGCTTAGTAGCACTATAGTCCACAAGTTGGTTTTTCCTGTGTTGAACGTGACAACTCAGAAACTATATATATATGAGAAACAAGGATTAGGTAAATAAAAAATTATATGCGCACAAAAATGTTTCTTTACAAAACAACAAACTTAGCAAATTAGTTGCTCAGTGTAATACGCCTGACCAAAATTTGGATTTACAGAAATGCTACTTTAGTTAAAAGAGAAAGTCGTTTAGCAAGACAAATGTACGTGGGTATGTTTTTGTTGCTAGCTTCAGAAGAGCCTGATAACGCCAAAAATGGAGTACTGTTGTCATGTTTGGGCGTGTGCTGTCCAGACCACGCTCTCCAGCCTTGCTAGAGTCCAAAAGCTTCTCCGAGCCCTTGTGGGTGACACATTATTCTGCTCTATCGCTTCTTCCACTTAAAGTGCTCGAACAAACTAGAATCTCTTGTCCCGCCATTTCGAAAACTTAACGGCAAGGACACGCCATACCACTTACATAGAAACAAACCGGCTTTTTTTTTTTCAGATATCCAGATCTTTCATCTTCTGTAATGGTTTGATTCACACGCCTTTAATTAGTAACCCGTATCTCGGCCTGCCTTCCCCGTTTGTTAACGATAGTCGTTTTTTACCAGCTTTCCCTTACTACATTGTTTAAGATTCATGCATTTCTTTCAGTATCATCTATCTGCACGGTATGATCACGGTATGATCAATAAGAGCATTACTATCTTCATTAAGATAGCACCTCAATTAATAAGAAAATGCAAGAATTGCAGTTTATGGGGTTATGTCTGAAAAATAACGGTTTACCATAAATTTGATTGGGAAAACATCTTGCCGGGAGTCTGTTCCACAAAGCAACAGTCGCTGCTCGAGTGGGCCTTACTTCTTATTAATAGTATACGAAAGTTGTGGAGTAACTGAACACTCCCGCAATATAGTCTGGTCTAAGACTATTTTAAAAACACTCTCTCTTACTGAGAGAGGGCAGTTAACGATGACTGTTAATTGTGCTTGTCGACTCTCGACTCTTTGCTCCGGGTTGAGAGGAACCAGGCGAGTCTCGTTTGGGGAAGTAGACATCTACCCGAACTCGTGCATGCGGGGTCTACGAACAATTTTTGCCTGATCATATGGGCTTGGAACGCTCCATGTAAAAAAAAAACAATTTCGGTTCAATTTCTATGTGAAATGAATCCGAGCCCGTGGGTTCGGACAAAATTCCCTGTAGACCCCATACACAAGGGTTCGGGTAACCTTCTTCCCCCGACAAGACTCTGCCCTTCCTCATACCTTCGTCTGAGTTCCTCTCCTCTCAAAGTCGACAAGAAAAGTTAACTGTAATCGTTAACTACTCGGTATTTACCCGGGACCTCCCCACAAAACGGAATGTGGCACGAGGCCAGTTTTTTACGTGGAGCGATTTTAGAGACCGCTTGTAGACTCCGTATACACGGGGTCGGGTAGCTGTCTACGTCCCCGGACGAGACTCTACATTGGCATAACTTCGTATGGGTTCCTCTCCGTCCGAAGGCAGAGAGTGAAAAAGCTGAGTTAACTGTAATCGATAACTCTTCTTCCTCAGTAAAAGAGAGTGCTGTTTAAATAGACTTAGACCAGTCCATCTTGTGGGGATGTTCAGCTACTCCACAACATAATGGAATAGGGGATGATTCGACGTTGTATAAGTGGCATGTTGGGTCCTAGTTTTGGGGTGGTGGGACAAAAGAAATATAGGTAGTCAGGACACATACCATGTAAATGCCATGTAGAACAACGAGATGTTCGCGACGTTTCGTTCGTAGGAAAAGGGTTGCAGGGTGGAAATAGTTCATCACCCACACGACCGTATAAACACTTTTGAATTCTATCCGGACAGGTTAGGGTGAATTGAGCACGCTGAAGCCCAAGTATATCAGAAATGTTCCAATTTTGGTCTGGTATACCACAGGGAGACAAATACGTAATGGAGTGGGAAAATAAACCGACCATCTTTTCAGCATAGATAGCAATATATATAGGTTGTATATAAAGTGAAGCTCAACGGCCCATGAAGGGAGTCCATCTAGGGGAAAGAAAACCGTGGTTTTTAACTTCCCCTGCCTTGCGCTCATATCCAATCATGGAAACGGCTATAGCATTAAATCCCGACAGAAAACTGAAGAGTAAAGCCGCGAACCCGGTTGACTGTCAACACTGACAATTTTCTGGCAAATGCTGAAATCAAGCTGTTCCTAAATTTAATAGTTCCTAAATTTAAGAGGGCTACCTTTACCTCGCTAGATAAACGGATGGCGACTATTATGTTTCACTTTAGGCCCGTGATGAGGTTGAGTCTCAGTAGACGTTCAAGACAAGGAGCCTCCATCAATCGTGATAGGGGAAAGTTAAGTGAGGTCTAGCTCACCTTGATAAAGGGTATTGAACGATATTGTATAAGTTTAAACGAAGATAGCATATATATCTTCTAAATAATGTTGAATGTATTAACATATATCACCTCCATCTTACCGTGTGCTTGTTTCCACATTATCGCTAAATGCCATTGGTTTTAAAATCTATATATTGAATGAATGTCATAAGTTTTCACACGTGAGTAGCTAAATGTCAAATTTTAACGTGTGACCACACTACAATTTATAATCGATAACAGTCATTGTAAATGGATTATATATATATATATATATATATATATATATATATATATATATATATATATATATATATGTGTGTGTGTGTGTGTGTGTGTGTGTGTGTGTGTGTGTGTGTGTGTGTGTGTGTGCAAATGTAAATGGATATAGATCCGACAGAATGAAGAAAAATTTGGAAAAAACAAACCAAAAATCTTTAAATGCAATTATGTTGTTTAAAATGAATGAAATGTCGACGTCTGACGTTTCGGTTTAATAAACCTTCTTCATGACAATAATCATTAAAATACAATTCAGTTCAATTTGACAAAGACGATGGACATAAAAATCAAGTCTTATTCAAAACAGATAACTGAAAATTTTTTCGTGACGACAACGTGACCATGCTAAACGGAAAGCTGATCATTTTAAAAATTTTCAGTTATCTGTTTTGGATAAGACTTGTTTTTTATGTCCATCGTCTTTGTCAAATTGAACTGAATTGTATTTTAATGAATATTGTCTTGAAAAAGGTTTATTAAACCGAAACGTCAGACGTCGACATTTCATTCATTTTAAACAACATAATTGCATTTAAGGAATTTTGGTTTGTTTTTTTCCAAATTTTTCTTCACATATATATATATATATATATA